TGAATCAAAAGGTTGGTAGTTGGAGTCTACCCAGAGGTGCCTCAAAAGAAAGGCCTAGTAATCTACTTCTGAAAAATCAGCCTTCAAAAACCTTATGGAGCACAGTTCTACTCAGACACACGTGGGGTCGCCATGAGTTGGAATCAACTCCACTGGGTTTTTTTTGTTTTTTTTTTCTTTTTGTTTTGTTTTTATGTGGCAGGAGGAAGCCATGTTTGGAGGCTACGTCATCACCCCAGCTCCCTAACCGTCCCCAACTCCACCTCAATATCCTATAAGGGACATAAAAGCCAGTTTCCATGGAGTCGATTCAGACCCCACATGTATCAGTGTAGAACTGTGCTCCATAGGGCTTCAATGGCCGATTTTTTGGAAGTAGCTCACCAGGCTTTTCTTCCAAGGTGCCTCTGGGTGTACTTATCCGCCAACCTTTTGGTCAGCAACTGAGTGTATTAACCATTTCCACCACCCAGGGACTCCATGAGGGACGTAAGAGACACACTTTATTCTTAGATCTAAAGACAGTCTTGAAAATAGGTCCATTTTCCTCATATTAGCTAATTTCCTTATATTAGCCAACTCAGGTAACTCCTATCCCATGTTTCTCTTTGCTTTATGATTGTACCACATATCTATGAACCTTTAAATAATATCTTGTGACATTTTGCTAGGATTTGAACATAACAGTGGTAACAAAATACATGTGTTTTGGCTGACTTTCCCTTCTCAACCTTCTAAGATTCATCCATGTTGATGCCTATGTTTACTGCTGTGTATTGGTCCATTATGTGAATGTACACTTTAATCAGTTATTCTCCTAACAGTGAGTATTTGAGTTGTTTCTAATTTTTTGCAATTACGACAATGCTTCCATGAACGTTTCTTATATGGACCTCCTGGTGCATCTGTGCGAGGGGTTGTCCGTTGTCTGTGCCTGGAAGTGACATCATGGGGTCATACGGTATGCAAATGTTTAACTTGCAGAATCCTACCAAATTGTTTTCCAAGGAATTGAACCAACTTACACTCCCACCTGCACCGTACAGACATTGTCCTTGTTCCGACCCTTGGCAACCCTTAAAGTTAACAACTGTTAGGATTTTGGCCAATTGGTTGAGGGTAAAATGGCACTTCATTACAGTTTTAATTTTTATTTCCCTGATTATGACTAAAGTGAAACAAGTTTTGCTGTGTTTATTGGACATTCCAATTTCCTTTTCTATAAAATGCCTGTTTGTGTTCGTTTGCCAATTTTCCTGTTACATGCTTGCCTTAGTTATCTAGTGCTGCTATAACAGACATACCGCAAGTGGATGGCTTTAACAAAGACAGATTTGTTCTCTCACAGTCTAGGAGGTTAGAAGTGCAAATTCAGGGTGCCAGCTCCAGGGGAAGGCTTTCTCTCTCCGTCAGCTCTGGGGGAAGGTCCTTGTCATCCATCTTCCCCTGTTCTAGGAGCATTTCAGCACAGGGACCCTGGGTCAAAAGGACATGTGCTCCCGTTCCTTCTTTCTTGGTGGTAATGAGGTCCCCGTCTCTCTGCTTGCCTCTCTCTTTTATATCTCAAAAGAGATTGACTCAAGACACAACCTAATCTTGTAGATGGAGTCCTGCTCATTAACATAGCTGCCACTAATCCCACCTGAGTAACATCATATAGATAGGATTTAGAACACATAGGAAAATCACATCAGATGACAAAATGGTGGACAATCCCACAATATTGGGAACCATGGCCTAGCCAAGTTGACAGGTATTTTAGGGGGACACAATTCAATCCATGACAGAGGTTAAAGAAGTTCTTTTCTATTTCTAGTTTTCAAAGAGTTAGTCAGGGGTGGATGCTGAATTATTTTATCAAATGTTTTTCTGCATCTGTTGATACGATCACATGATTTTCCCCTTTAATCTGTTAATGTGAACAACATTAATAACCAATTGGTCATGATATACTATCTTATCTTCTGTTTGCTAATATTTTGTTTAGGAGTTTTAGATACATGTTTATTGTTAAGATTGGCCTGTAATCTCCCTTTCTCTTACCCTCTGTCTGGTTTTTGTGTAAAGTTATGCTGGCGTCATAGAACGAATTGGGATGATTGGTTCTATGGGTTTTTTTGTTGGTGGTGGTGGGTTGTTTTTCTTTTTCTTTTTTTTTTGGTTCAGTAATACTCAGGCTTCTCAAGTATGTACAAGGTCTGTTGTACCAGTAATAAGAATAAATTGGTCTGAGAATATCAAATTTTAAAATGCAATATCATCGACCTCGTGTTTTCACTGCTAGGAATTTCTCCTGTAGATAAGCTCAAACACATATAAAAATATATGCACAAGGATATTTATTGTTGTAATAGCAAGAAACTGAAAACAAATGTCTCTCAATTGGGAACTTGGTTAAAAATTTTTAAAAAGTACGATATTTTATTGTCATTACAAAGAATGAGGCAGATGTATTTGTGCTGATGTATAAAGTTCTCCAAGATCTGTAATTAGGGTAAAGCAGGT